CGAAAGTGCCGTCTCATTGTACACGCTATTTCACGTCCCACAGTCGATTTCAAGCCAAACGCTCGAAAACGCTCGAAAAGTACCCCTCATTTGAACACCCATAACTTCGTTGAAAGTTAAGCTATCGGAGAGGGGTAAGTGGGAATGAGTAGAGCTAGGTTGGCTCTTATCACCTGAATTGAGCGATTTCAAAAACGTTCCGGTTCCAGAGATTTTCCCCGTTGTGATCATCGTTGTGATCCGTCTGTGATCATTTTTGCGAACCGCGAGTCGCTACGCTTTGGACGTCCATGGCAAGCTTCATACACGGCCTTTCGTAAAAAAAAGAACTGTGCCGGAAGCTTGAAGATTTCTACTTTCCAGCAGGGCTTTAATTTTCTCCCTAGGCCTGCTATTCGAAAAAATTCCCCGTTGTGATCATTCGTGCTCACCCCCCACGACACGAAAAATCAACCCCTCCGAGGCCAGGAAACCTCCAGTTGGCTTGAAGACTTTGGTATGCTTCTGAAACACATGTTTCCGCAAAGGGTATTGAAGAATGGTCTAATGGGCGCCAATTGGCATCACCTGTGCAATGCGCCATGCATGGGGCTTTCACGCAGGTTTTGGAAAGGTGTAACTTCTAGATAGGGCTTCCCAATTGCAAGCAAATGTGCTCCTACGATCAGAAAAGTCCGGGAATGTACTTTCATCTGTTTATTAATCGTCACGTCGTGAGTCCTTTTGTTTGTTTATAAATTCATGGTGCCCTTGTGGGCGGTGATCGTAGCTCCTATCATCCCCTTCCTCGTACGTATTGTCAGTATGCTACACCAGCGCCAGAGTGCTGGACGTCTGGACGTGCTTGGGACGTACGTAGGTACTGCGACCTCCCCCCCCCCCGCTCGACAGTAAAATTTTGTGAAAAAAACCAGAAATTTTTTGGGGAAAACGGACAAAGTGGTAGGAGGTTGGAAAAATCTAGGGAAGAGGTAACATGGGGAGGGGGTCGTACTTGAAGATGGAATTAGGGGGGGGGTCGTATTTTTCAGGAAATGATCACAACGCAATGGCGTGCCCTGGCTGAAAGCTTGTATATAGAGGTAATCTAACATCCTGATTACGACTATGACATTCATTCTTGGCGCTGGCGCTAATGGAGAACACTACGATTATCTGCCCTCTGCTAAAGCTGAACCCAAAAGATAATAGTAGTGTCCTCCATTAGCGCCAGCCCAGGAATGAATGTCATATTTGTATAACAGGATGTTAGATTACCTCTATGTACAAGTTTTAAGCCGATTTGGTAATCTAGGCACTTTAAAAATGAGCTCACAGCCAAAAGTCAGCGCGTCCAAACGGCATCAACCTCATGAAAGGGCAGCTACACACTTTCAAAGGCCCACTGGTCGCTGAACTGTGTGTAGATGGTTCTAGAAACAAATTAGTAAGCAGCTGGAAAATTAGTACAGTTGGTCGAAGAAGGGAACTGTTTGGTTTGGAAGGGGGACGTTGCACTTTTGCTACTTTTTTTGGTAGTACATGTTAAATAGGTCTAACTTTGGTATTAGTTGTGAACTCTTGTGAAATTCTGGAATGGTCAGTTGGGGTATGTGACAAGAGAATCGTAATTCACCGCTCTAGTGGCGTCGCGTGCGACGTCGCGCCCGCAAATGACGATGGTTCCAGGTAGTAGATGGCGACAACAGGCAATTCAGAACCGAAAATAGCCATGAATGTCAGGGTCTACATGAAGTCCGGTGCTCCAATCGACAGGTTAACACGAGTTAAGAAAACGCCGCGCCCATTGCCGCGCGCGGCGGAGCGCAAATTACGATTCTCTTGTCCGTCTTCCGTACAACTGAACCACTTTAGCAACAGGAATTTACAGGGTTTCGCAGGGTAGCCTTTACAAGTTTTGCTGCCGAACTGCGCCATCCAAAAGCTTTCCATTTTTTTGGGAAATATTTAGGTAAAATATCATCGTAGGAGATAGCAGACCCAGTTCTCTTTGTCTTTTTATGTAGTGAAGTCGTGAACCACACCAGTTTAATCCGAACGAAGGTGAAACGTTTCCTAACCGGGATCACATGCCTAAAAACTGTTTCGAATTGCGCGTCGCTCCCGTTTATTTCTACCGGTTGCCGCAACGGAAAAAATCGGGGCACCTCAACAACGGGTCGACTGACCTTCGTAGCAATTTTTCAAGAATACAAACCAGAAAATTGTTCTCACTGCCGCGTCAATGCACTTCACGTATCGATCTTCTCCAAAACACCGGATTATATAGCACGTTTCGCACGTTCACGTCGTTAAACGATAAAAACACTTGCATCGGAATCAGCCAAGCGTGGTAAGACCGCTCGACGCAGGCTTGAATTCAAATTCGACGGGCAGCGTTTTTGGCAGCGGCAGCTGACAATAAACAGTAGGAAGGCGGTCGTTTGGCGCGAGAACATTGCCATTAACATGTCTTGACCGGCGGTACGCTGTGAAGCATGCGTGCTAAGCCGGATAACTCGTCCGTATCACCAAACTATAAGACCGCGTAATTGACAGAATACACAAAACCGTGAATGTTGACCTCGGTGCTCGTGCTGCTCTACCAGATCATCTAAAGATGATCACTTGGAAAAATACACCAATTTAGACTTACGGATGAGTTTTCCTACCAGGAAGACGGCTTGCATGACATAAGACACGTTGTCTGTAATGAAATCGCGCCATATGAGCTCAAGCCCTCCAATCGTGCTATATTCTGTTTTCCTCTGCACCCTCTCGACCTCATGACGTTGTATGACCAGTGCGACCCCACTGATTCTAGCCTTTTACGCATAAGGTGGCTCACCCACCCCAGAGCCCCTTCCCTCAAAGAACCCTCCCAAGGGCTTATCACATATTTTCACACCTTTTGATGTTCTGACGCCCACTGTCCTTGAGCTGCCAGGTGTTTTACAACAGGGCCATGCACAAATGTTCAAGCAATCCCATTACACGGAGCTGAGGATCTGAAACCACGTCATTCGTTCGAGGGATTTCATCCACACACTGTGACGTACTCTTACAAGGAAGCAATTCTTATGCGACTCTGGTCGTCTGGGCACTGAGTCTAAGCCTTGCTTAGAGGGAGAGACGCAGAAGCGCTGCCGCATGGCCCCGCTTAACTGCGCTAGTAACTATATTTTGAAACTTTGTCATCATCATGTTATTATCATTTATCAAACGAACAACGTCAGTAGGCAAAAAAAAACGGTCAAAATTTAAAATCAGAAGTCTGCTTGGATCAGAAATCCTTGAATTTTACGAGGTCGCCATGCGCGCATTTCTAACGCGTTCATGAGGAACAGGATTGCGAGTGTATTTGACAAGGGTTAAGAGAGTGCTGCTCTAACATACCGGGACTTTTTGCCGAATAGCACTCTGGGTCGTTTAGTGTAACTGCAAACATCTTTTTTTTTTGTTATCGAGGCTCAGGAAACTTTCGCGTGAGCCCGGGATAGTAAGCTCAGGGACCCGAGCTCGTGACGTTTCGTAACTTTGAAAACTCTTTGTGCAAAACTGGAGTACCGTAATGCACGGAAAATCGCACCGAAATAGCGTGGTTGTACTGTGCAGCGCCCAGAATTGAGGCGGATTTGATTTAGTAGAAAGCATTTGTGTGTATGTCAACCACCCTTCGATTATTCGAAGTAATGTTATATCGAACTTATCGCACTTCTTATGGGAAAATGGAAACCGGAAAAATCCAATGCACGAGTCTCTTCCAAGCAGAGGCATTCAAATCCTGAAAAAGTCCTGTCTAATACAAGGTACACATAGAGGCTCCGAATGGGTCGTAATTTTTGAGACAGCCGTATGACGAGACGTTGTTCCAGAAAGCGTCTCTTCTCAGCCACAGTTGCGTTTTTCTTGTCGGGACCGAAAATAACGAACCAAGGCGTTTGAAACCACGACTTTTTGCACAAATGATTAGCTCACCCCGCGAAGCTCCTCCCACTGAACTCGGGGAGAATTTCTCATTCCCAGCTGCTCACAACCGTTTCCTCGCCCTTTCTAGATAGTCGACTTCACTGGAATAGAGCCTGGACTTCCCCTGATAGTGCTGTAACCTCTTTAACGAATGGATAATGTTTTTTCATCCAAAATAGCATAGTAATCCGCTCACATAGATGCATGTAGGTATTACGCAAGGGAAGTCCTCATTGGGAACGTTCCTAAATTAGGATCTGCTCTAAATTCCACCCGATTATCGAGCTTGGCAATGACCCAACTCAGGTGTTTGTCGACAGCGACCACTCGCTCCCTGCGCCTCGTTGCCGTTTACGAAATCGATCAATAAAGACAGGCTTACTCGCCTGTGTACAAGCATTTTGTCGAGAACTTATTACGGAGGGATTCTTTGCAGGACCTCCATCACATTTGTACCCCAACTGTTCATTTAAAAAGTTGTCTCTTGTCTCATTTGCTTGCGTCTTACTTTCCCCGAAATAGTTTGTTTTTTGTGGTTTCATAAGTATTGCTCAGATCAATGTTTTGTTGGTGGGGGTGCTGTGACGAAGGGTCGACGGTCACTTTTCCTTAATATAGTGCTCATTTCTATTCGAAGATGTCCATTTTTCGTGGCAGGTTTTCGCGGCAAGACTTTCATTTTTGACAGGTTTTCGCGCCAGGACCTCTTACAGTTATGATTTTCTCGTCAAACCTGAATTCATCATTATATGTGTACATTACGCGAACGAAGAAGATTCATCGTAGCTGAATTGAGTGGCGTAGTCGTCGTCGTGCGTTAATTGCCACGGTATGCGTTACGGAGGCGGTGCCGGGGTGACCTTAGCCGTCCGTGGCCAGACTAGGCAGCCAGCCCAACACAGAGGTCCACCAACAGCGCCACCCGCCTCCCACACGCCATACCGCATACCATCTGGCCAACCGTCTTATTATTATTTTTCGAATATCCCAAACGATTCCAGTGCCAAACGGGTCGGCATCGTCGTTGCTGTAGCCAAGAAGAGGAACAAGTCATGAAGGTCAGTTCTTTTATATTTTTTCCTTCGATTTTAAGCTGATTCCAGCATTTTCCTTGTAATTCCCGGGTCAAAGTCAACAATTCATTGAATCAGGGGGTGCGGACTAGTCGGCGGCCTGGCTGGGTGACTCATCGCCCCACAGAAATTCCTGTCCAATTACGTCATCGCGTTTGACTGCTTCGGCTTTGGGACACAATAGCGCTCATGTAGCTCTAACGGATATATTCATCTCGTTGCTTGTCATATTCATATGTCGTTACCGTATAGTCGTATCCACACTTTCTCTCGTACAGTTAGGGGGACAGAATTGATCTTTAATAAATAATTCCTTCCGACAGTTTAGAACGGTGTCGCGATCGATTTCTTGAAGCTTCATACTGCTTATTACTTTTTTATTACAATCTATGGTCTGACAGCGATTTCCGAATAGTTGTAGTGAAAAGTGTCCGGAAAACGGTGCTATGTGTCTTCGAAGGGGCCAGTCCTCAATTGTGCGTCAGGCTAAGGAGCTTGCGATTTTTCGGAGACTGGAACCCCAAGCTACTTTGCACATCCCAATTTTACACAAATGGTAAGTAATTAACCTAAGCCTGGAGGTGGGCACGTGCTGCGCTGGGGATCTCCAGCAGGAGGTGGGGTTGTATTTGCTTTTGGGAGCAATTTTTCCAATTGTTCTTTTCTTGACTTACAATTTAGCTTTTTAGAATGCACTATA